AAACACATCTTCACAAAAAAGAGAGAGAGAGAGAGAGAGCTGAATGACCAATAGCTAGGCAGGACTCCCATACAGAGATAGGGAAAGAATCTGAGGTAAGAGATTCATCAACCAGACGAGGAGGAAATCAGATGTACAGTACTGAGGAGAGGTAACAAGTCACACGGCAGAACACAGATAAAATATGGTCTCCTGGTAATGGAAGATATGGAGCCTGAACTGTTCATCTTCTGTAACCTGGCAAGGCTTTCAGTGGTGGAACTGGGACACTTCCAGCCTCAAAGCCTTTGACCTACAATTTGCCCTGCCTGCAAGATGAGCAAGATGAGCTGGGGCAGAACTTGTGGGAGTGGCCTACCCATGCTGATGATCCAGAAGCTGGATAGAGTCAAACATGACTGGCTAAAAAAAAGGCTCAATGAAACGATTCCTAATGATGTTCTGCTATACTGACAGATCAGTGCCAAGCCCATCAGAGAGGCTTCTTCCAGCAGCTCACAGTAGCGAACGGACGGATGCAGAGACCCACAGCCATTCATTAGACAAAGAGCATCTCCATCAGGTCCCTCCCCTTGCAGCTCAGGGAACCCTGCAGGAGAGGGGAAGGAGGAATTGTGGGAACCAGAGGGTTTGAGTACACTGGGAGACCTGGCCTGCAAAATCAACTAAGAAGGGCTCATGAGGGCTCACACAGACCGAAGGGGCAATCACTGAACTGCATTGATCCTCACTAGGTCCTTTGTATATATGTTATAATTGTTGGGTTGGTGTTTTGTGAGACTCCTGGAAGTGGGAGTCAGGGTGTCTCTGATTCTTTTTGCTTGCTCCTGGGACCGTCTTTCTGCACTGGGTTCCTTCATCCAGCCTTGACAAGAGGGTTCATCTTGTTTTGCTGTTTTCTGTTGATGTCCCTGGGAGGCCTGCCCTTTTTTGGGGGGAGATGGAGAAGCAGAGTGGATCTTGGGATAGTGGGGAGAACTGGGAGGAGCGGACGGAGGGGAAGTTTCACTCGGGTTGTATTTTATGAGAGAAGAATGAGAGAAGAATAAACTTAAATCATTTTCTATCATTACTTCTTTTTGGGGGTGGTATCTTTTTTGAGGCGGGGTTTCTCTGGGTAGCTGTCTTGGAACTTACTATGTAGACCAGGCTGGCATTGAACTCTGAGTTCCACCTGCCTCTGCATCCCGAGTACTGGGATTAAAGGTGTTTCCTTGTTTCTACTTTTTCTTTGAGGACGAGAGTAGGATGAACAGAGAAAAAGAGTTTCTTAATGCACATAGAAGTTAACCAAGTTGAGGGCCGGGAAATGTAGCTCAGCTGGTTGAGTGCTTGCTCAATGTGCACAACGCCCTGGGTTCTAGCCCCACCATTGCTCAAGAGCAGGCGTGATGGCATGTGCCTATAGTCACAGTACTTGGGGGATGGAGATGGGGAGAATTTGAATAAAGACTTTTGTTATCCTTGAATACACAGCAAATTCTAGGCCATCTGGGCTACTTGAGACCCAATCTCAAAGACTGATCAATTTGGGGCTAACATTTGGGGCTGGAGAGATGGCTCAGTGGTTAAGAGCATTGCCTGCTCTTCCAGAGGTCCTGAGTTCAATTCCCGGCAACCACATGGTGGCTCACAACCATATGCAATGAGGTTTGGTGCCCTCTTCTGGCCTGCAGACATACACACAGACAGAATATTGTATACATAATAAATAAATAAATATTTGGAAAAAAATAATCCAGTGGGCAAAGGCACTTGCTACTGAGCATGGTGACCTCAGTTCAATTCCTGTACCCCACGTGAAGAGAGGAGAGAACCGACTCCCACACGGTGTCCTCTGACCCTCACACATGTGCCAGGACACATTCCACAGACACATGTCCACACAATCGTCAGTCAATACATGCGAAAATTTTTAAAAGTTAAGTATGTTGAGGAAGCAGGAGGCTTACCTATGGCAAACAAATCTTCATTACCATCAGATATTTTGCTCATATCAAAAATGAGACACACCTCCAAATAAAAAAGAAAATTTAGGGCCTCAAAATCTATGATGTTAGCAGTAGCCCTGACTCCAGTGCATCAGATAATAGTAATAATTTAACAACAGGTGAGTCATGTAATAAGGGGTAGAATTGCTTTTCTTGAAGACATTCAAAACCAGCTGCTGCAGAACAGAGTGTTTGACAATGTAAACGTTTGTTGCTTTTGTTTATGCTGCATTTTTTAACTATGTAAAGGTGTGTTGCTATTTCACCTTGCCTGCCGAAGGCACCTGATTGGTCTATTGGCCAATAGCTAGGAAGAGGAGGGATAGGCAGGGCTGGCTGGGAGAGAGAAAAGGAGAGTCAGCCAGTCAGCTAGGAGCCAGTCTGCCAAATGTGGAGGGAGCAGGGAAACAGGATGGAAATATGCAGATGAGGTAATTAAGCCTCAGGGCACCACCTAGATTAATAGAAATGGGTTAAGTTAAAAAAAAAACTAACTAGAAACAAACCTAAGCTAAGGCTGAGCGTTCATAGTTAATAATAAGTTGCCAAGTCATGGTTTGGGGTCTGGCGTCCAAGAAAACCTGCTACACTCTGCAGAACTGAAAACAAGTTTTCTGGAAAATTCAGTCACCTGGAGCTTTCAGTGACAGAACTGAGCACTGAATTTGATTCTTCGTTTACTTTATTTAACCATTTCTCTGTTTAGTACTCGGACCTTGTACATGCTAGGCAAGCACTCTCCCATTGGGCGAGCCACAGCCTCAGCTCCAGGGTTGAGCTCTGGCCAGCTGACCACTACTGATACCCTCTGACTCCTGCCATGTCGTGCCTGGCCCTTAAGCCTCCTCAGAAACACCCCTTCCACACATTTTACCTCCTTTCCCGGAACTATGGCTTCGGAAAGGAAAGCAAGCTGGTGTCCTGGCTCCTCCAAAACCGGAAATGGCTGTGCTCACCCAAAAGACCAGCCTTGAAGGGCAGTGGCGGCTGTGGGCGAGCCCTGAGGAGGCTGACTAGCCGGCTCACCTCCGGGAGGCAGGCAGTTTTCTGCGTTCTGAGAGAGAAGGGGCGCGGTGACCCTTGACCCCAGGACTCACTCCCTGCGGCCTGTGGAGAGCCTGGGGCTGCTGAATGGCTGCCCCTCACACCGTCCTGGCTGGCTCCCCTCACCCAGCCTCGGGATCCCTGGTAAGCTCTCCTGGGGCTGTTGAGGCGAAAGGGGCTCAGAGGCCTGGGCTGGAAGCTTAGCAACCTCTCCAGTCCTCCCGTGAGGCTGCTTCCACATCATGAGCCCACGCGGCCTTTCCAGCCGTTTGATGCATATATGCCATTGCTATCCTCGCGCCTCCTCTGCAGACAGGCAGTCCCTTTTCCTCTCAGCCTTATACCCCATGTGACACACGTGCTGCCAAGTGAGGCAGAAATGGTGTGCTGGAAGACTCCGTGTGGATTTCAAGCCGCTGATATTTGCTCGCTGATACTTACTCAAACATTTACTATACTTGCTACTTTCAATAGCAGAATCAACATTCACCCCACCTGGCAGACTAGGGCTTTAGGGATAGCTGCTGAGAACTGAAAACGATCAGATAGGACACCAGTGTAGAAGGGAACTTGCCGCCCCGCCCCGCCTGATCATTGCGGTCCACCCCAGATCCCACGTGGAAAGGGAAGTGTCTCTTTCAGTCTGAGCATAAGATTAGAGGAATAACGGACCCAGAGAAATGGGAATGCCCCCTTAGGAATCTCATGCTGCGTAAAGGTGCCAACCAGAGGGTAACTTATCTCCCGATTTCAAGCTTGTCAGACACCTTACGGTTGAGGCCCAGACAGCGATGGGTCAGTGGCGGCCAGCACATCATGGACGGCTTAGATATGCATATTGCTAGCCCTCTATCTGCACTTCAGTCTCAAGTCAGGAGCCTGAGATGGATTGGAGGGGTCACTGACCTATTTGCCTCTTTCTGATGGGGCCACAGTGAATAAATCTTTTTCTGCTTTCCACTATTAATTCGGTTCTTTTAATTAGCTTACTGGGGATGAGTAGCCGAGCCTGGCTTGGGGCACAACCTGTGACAGGAAAGATCCAGCCCCCAAAAGTTATACACACACATACACACACACACACACACACACACACACACACACACACACACCTCATTCAAAATAAGGGAGTCAGGCATGGTGGATCACACCTTTAATCCCAGACTCAGGAGGCAGAGGCAGATGGATCGCTGTGAGTTCTAAGGCAGCCTGGTCTACATAGTGAGTTCCAGGACAGCCAGGACTACACAGAGAAACCCTGTATCAAAAAAACAAAAACAAAAACAGAAACAAAAAACAAAACAAAACAGGGAACAGCTTCTGAGGAATGACATCTGATGTTTGTCCTTCGGCCTCCAAATGCGTGTGTGCACTTGTGTGCCCTCATACACACATGAACACATAGCACATACACACACGAAAGAAGCGAGAAAGGAAGAAAGAAGAAAGGAGGAAACTGGGTGATAGGAACCACACACACACACACACACCCCACTGTAAATCTATGAAGAACTGGGGACCTGACAAGTGTGAGGGACACATGGGTACATCATAGGAAACCATGGAGATGCTGGGTGTGCTAAATGACACCCCACTGCCGACGCCTGATTTTTCTGGCACCTCCTCCCCTTAGGTTTCTCCACAGAGGCAGGAAGTGCCACCTGAGGTTCACTTCCCCCACCGGATGTTCAGGCATTGCCTAGCTGCTCTCCTCACCCCTGGGACTGTCACACCTCCTTTGTCGCACTTTCACTTCCTCTGGTGTCCAACCCCAGCCCTGAGCACATGGGAGCACCTGTTCTGGGGGGGAGACCCAGAAAGACACACACACACACACACACACACACACACACACACACGGCGAGGCCAAGAGGGACAAAGAGGGGCAGAGAAAGAGTTAGTTCAAGGGCTGTGGGTCCTAAACAGAGGACCACAGGATGCAGGGGCGGAGCCAGTGAGCAGTGAGGTCAGAGTGTCTGTGAGGTTGGCCTCTGCAGACACAGCCCTGAGGTTCCAGGACCCAGATGTGGGTGGAAGTCCTTCAGGAGGCCCTGAGTACCCTCCCTGAGCCATGGACACCTGCGAGGGACCACCCATTGTGTCCTTGGTACCCACGTATTCCAAGGTACTGCTGTGTGCCCTGTGGAAGCCATGAAGAAGACAAGGACTCAGCTGACAGTCACTAAATGGAAAGGGCTGGGTGGAGCTCCACCCCTGGAACTTCCTCTTTCTCTGCCCTCTTCCTCTGTGCCTCCTTCTCTCAGTCTCTCTCTTTCTCCGACCATTATCCCCCTGGTCCCCTGTGGCCAACACCTCTTCTGTCTGGGTTCCTCAAGCTGGTCGCTCCCCATCTAGGAGAAGATGTCAGCCCAGGAGAGTTGCCTCAGCCTCATCAAGTACTTCCTCTTCGTTTTCAACCTCTTCTTCTTTGTGAGTTTACTCATGGCTGCCCGGCAGGGGTCCCAGGGCCACTGTGGCCCTGGATTGCCCACAACCTCCTTCTCTTCTCTTCCCGTAGGTACTAGGCAGCCTGTTTTTCTGCTTTGGCATCTGGGTCCTCATTGACAAGACCAGCTTTGCGTTCTTTATAGGTGAGGGAGCTGGGCAGTAAGGGAGGGTCTTCCCGGGGTGGACCTGACCCAGAACCCCACCCCAAGGCATTGCCTGGTATCTCCTTTGCCCCAGAGGCCCTTAGGAGTTACCAACTTTGCAGACGGGGCTCGCGTTCTAGTGGCCCATTGGCCACTGCCACCGTGCCTCCGTGCAGTGTCTTTCCCAGCAAACAGGGTGTGTAAACGGGATGTAGTGGTGCATGCCTACCATCCGAGCTCCAGGAGGTGGAGCGAGGGGAGCAGGAGCCTCCCCTTGCCTACACAGCGGGGTGGAGGCCAGGCTGGGCTCTGTGAGGGACTGGCTCAAAAACAACCGCAAGGAAGCGAGGTCATGATTCCAAACAATAACAGAAATGATAGACATCTCACAAATACTTCCTGTGTCACATCTTGGGCTGTGGCTCACAGACCCTCCCTTCTTGAGGTTCACAGAAGGGAAGTGTCTTGCTAGGTGTCACACAGCAGGGAAGGGGAAGAGCAGAAATAAGTTATACAAGGAAACTACTGATGAAGGGGGAATCAAATCCATAGCCTCGCAGCTGGGCGGTGGTGGCGCACGCCTTTAATCCCAGCACTCTGGAGGCAGAGGCAGGCGGATCTCTGTGAGTTCAGCCCAGCTTGGTCTACAGAGCAAGTTCCAGGACTGCCAGAGTTACACAGAGAAAGCCTATCTCAAAAAAACAAACAAACAAAAAAGCAACTCATTTACCACATTGATCACCGGGTTGAACAATGTTCTCATGCGTACTTCAGAACAATTCTAGGGTATGTGTGATGTCTCACACCTGTTATCCCAGCACATGGGACGTGTGGGCAGGAAGATCAGAAGTTCCAGGTCACCCCTGGCTACAAAGTGAGTTCAAGGCTAGCCTGAGTTACAAGAGACTATCTTGGGGGCGGGGGGATGAAAAAGAAAAATTTAGGAAAATGTTCTCTAACCTGGTGGCCCTCCAAGGTTTAAGAAAGGGATCCAATGCCACCGGACAAGTGACGCCACAGAAGCGAGACTACAAAGTCCAGAGAAGTGGGACCGGGAGCCAAAAAACAGGAGGAGAGTCTCAAAGGGAGAAAAACTAACTCAGGGCGGGAGATAGTGCTCTGCCTGGATGGCCAAGTGCAGTTGCTCTTTCCCGGGCCGCCCTCACTGACGTTCACCGCCTCAGGCTTGTCCTTCATGCCACTGCAGACCTGGGCCAAGGTCCTGGCTGTCTCCGGTGTCCTCACCATGACCCTAGCCCTCCTGGGTTGTTTGGGTGCTCTGAAGGAACTGCGCTGTCTTCTGGGCCTGGTGAGTAGCACTGCCCGTCACCGCTCCCCGTCATCCTGCCCCTTAGGGGCCTCCTTTCACCTGTCACCCCCCTCTCCGCTCCGTCCTCAGTACTTTGGAATGCTGCTGCTCCTGTTTGCCACACAGATCACCATGGGGATCCTCATCTACACTCAGCGGACCCGGGTGAGTTTGCCAACACTATTACCCCAACCAAGGATGCTGAGGGACAGGAGTGGGGAGAGAAACAGGCAGGTGGGCTCTGCCATCAACCAGGAAGCTGAGGCGCACAACAACGGCAGTCAGAAAGGCACAGGGACAGAGGCATAGGAAGGGAACGCTGGCGTGCTGTTGCATGTGGTCCTAGCTGTCACAGGCTAATATTAATCAGCCCAAGAGACCAAGGCTGGTCTGGGCAACAAAGTGAGGCCACATTTATTAAAAATGAAAGAAGGGGGCATGTGTGATGGCATACATCTTTAACCCCGGTATTCTGGAGGAAGAGGCAGGCAGGTCGCTTTGAAGACAGCTTGATCTATACAACAAATTCTAGGGCAGCCAGGGTTCCATAGAGAGATTCTGGAGAGGGAGGGGAGGATGAAGACAGAGGCAGACATAGACTGACTTCTGCTTAGCATTTATTCTGCTGGTGAGTGCTTGCCTAGCACTCATGAGGTGGCCGGTTTGGTCCCCAGTCATGGGTACCTGTAATTCCAGCACTTAGAGTTCCAGACCAATGTGGGTTACAGGAAAATAATTTTATTCCAAAATTAGACTCAAACTTAAAAAACAAAGAGGAAGAAGCAATGGAGATGTAAAAACCCGTAGAAACACTTCTGAGGTTCTGAGGAAGAGAGCCACTGCCAGTCATTCAGGAAGAAACCTAAGGGTGCAAAGCTGGGCTTCTGGGGTGAACACCATGGGCGGAGCTGGGGCAGTCGGGCCGGAGGACTCGTTCCATCCTCACCCACACCCTCTCAGCTGGAACGAAAGGTGCAAGAGCTGGTGTTGCAGACGATCCAAGGTTATGGTGCCAACCTGGGTGATACAGCGGCTGAAGAGAACTGGGATTACACGCAGTTCCAGGTGTGTGAGCTCCCTACATCTCATGTTCCAGACAACACCCTGGACTCCGACGTGGTTCTAAAATCTCAGCTTAGGCCTGGGTTTCAAGAGACTCTGCCTCCGTGTGGGCCGCAGGTCACCTGTTCCCTCTTGCTTACACCCGTCACGCTGCTTGAGGACCCCCAGATGACAGTATCACTGTCCCCATGTAGCTAAGTCCCCAGACCCTTGGCCCTGACGTTGCTCCACCCCAATCCCAAAATTTCTATGCGAGGAACTCCCGTCCTTGCATGAAGTCCAGCTCTGGCATCCCAAGATAGAATCACAGGGGTGACCCACAGTCTCAGGTTCACCTGATGCTCCTGCAGAGCCCAGGTCACCCTGGCCCCATCGTATCTTACATACCCATCATCCCTACCCGGCTCCCAGGCTTGGCTGCACATCTACAGCCCAGACCTCGGGTCCCTGACTCTGTCCCCCATCCCATCAGCTGCGCTGCTGCGGCTGGCACTCTCCCCGGGACTGGATCAGCGCCCGAATGCTGAAAGGAAACGAGTCTGAGGGGCCCTTGGTGCCCTGCTCCTGCTACAACTCCACGGCGACCAATGACTCCTCAAGCTATGATAAGCTCCTCTCCCAGCGCATGGGGACCGCTGACCTATGCACTCTTCCCGCAAAAGCTCCCTACTACCGCGAGGTGGGACGGGCACTGGGGAGGTGTGCCGTCGGTGGGCGGGACCTCTAAAGGGCGGAGTCTTTAAGAAAGCGGGCTGGGCTTGGAGGGTGCGGCTAGATCAAAGGCGTGGCCCAAGGAGGTCAGGAGAAGCAGGTCCCCCAGAGGTGACTGTGGCCCATACAAGCATGAGTCCAGAACAGAAAGGTAGGTGGGGCCCTCTGATGTGATCCAGGCCTACACGGGGCCGTGGCATCAGGCGGGCTTGGGAGGGGGCTGCTACAAGAAAAGACAGAGATCCTATATCAGTGGGCGTGACATACTCAGGAGCAGGTACCTGGAGGTCGGTGGTGCAGGAGCTCCATGGGATGGGCCCTCAGAGTGAGAGGAGAAACCTAAACAAGAGCGGAGCACAAGGCAAAGTTTGGAGAAGTCGTGTTTGGGCACCTAAAAGAAGATCTGAGGGGCTCCTGGGCTTGGGGGTGAGTTCCAGAAGCAGCAACACCTTTATTCTTTTCCTGCATCCCCAGGGCTGCGCGCAGAGCCTCCGGAAGTGGCTGCACAACAATCTCATCTCCATAATGGCTATCTGCCTGGGAGCTGGTCTTCTTGAGGTGACTTGGCCCCGCCCCCATCATCGATTGGTCTAGCTAGATGGTTTCCCGTTGCCGAGGAAACGCGCTTGCTTTGCGGTTGCGTCGTTATCTATGGCAGCACTAGCATGGGATGGGGCGGAGAACTGGCTTCTGCAAACTCTGGGCTGCCCGCTACACTCTCCCGCAGGTAAGCGAGATGGCGCTGTGTCTGCAGCTACATCGTAGAACGCTCAGCAAAGAGCCGGTGCTGCCGCTTCAGGGAGCCGAGGGTTCGAGCCCTACGCCCGGGCTGAGCGCTGATGGCAGCGGCGGGCGCCGGGTCGGGCTTAGCAGCAGCATCGGACGCAACAGCACCCCGTGGGGCAGCTGGGGCATAGCGGGTGCCTGCCCAACATGGGGGGACAAGGCACAAGGCAAGCTACCCATGGCTTTGGGGCCTTGGCCGTTGTGGGATACGGACGAGGAGCAGCTTGAAACGGAAAGCGCAGACGCTGAGTTGGAGGTCGGGGAACACGCAGAGACGGCCGCGTCTCCAGAATAAAGGACGCTGGGCTTGCCTCTGAGCTTTCAGACAGCCGCTGGGCTGCCCGCTCTCAGCGCCGCCAGTCACTCTAAGCTCCTGTGCACGCCCACTTTTTGCTTTTTTTTGGTTTTCCCTTCGGGCACCACCCCTTCTCCAACCCTGAAACACTGTCTTTCTCTGCAGCTCAGCTTCATGACGCTCTCAATATTCCTGTGTAGAAATCTGGACCACGTGTATGACCGGCTGGCCCGGTACCGCTAGGCCTGGCCCGTCGCATCGGCGCCCACGCACCTCCACGCAGCCAGGAAATGTTTCCTTCCTGGCTGGTCTTAGGGCTAGTGCCTTGGGATTCAATCCCTGGGGATCCAAGTGTCTGCCCTTACCGACAGTCATCACTTCCCCCACGGGGCCAGGGCCTTCCTTCTGTCCCCAGCTTCCTTCCCCATCCCCTCCTCTCCACACCATCTGTCTGCCACCTCCCACACGATACCTCAAATAAATACCCTTCGTTTTGGTAAAAATAGTTTTATTCTCCTTCGGAACATAAACCATCACTCTTGGGGAAAGGAAGGTGGCAGGGTGGTCTGAGGCTCACTTAAAATGGGTATGAGATTAAGAAGTCCCACCCCCACTGCTTGCCCTAGCTGAGATAACATTAATCTTAACACTGTGTATAAATATCTCCTTATATTAAAAAAAAATTCAGGTCCCACTTCATTCTGCCCCCAGCTGGGAAGCCGTTATCTTCAATCTGTGACATCCCAGATCAGAGAAAGGGTGTGGGGAAGAGGCAGACATGGGGCGGGTGGAAAACAGGAAGAGTAAAGGCAATGAGTAATGTCTCCCACACCGCCAGGCTCCCTCTTGCAGAAGAGCACAGAGGGGCCCCGTAGAACCGAGACCAGTGCTGCACCTGTGGGCATGCACTCCTGTCCCCAATCCCTGATGCCCAGGAGTGAAGTGTCCTGTCAAATGCTCCCTGTGAGGTCGGCTCATTCAGCTCAACAAGTTTTGGGGTTCCCCTCTAATAGGAGCCAGCCCCCCCCCCTTGCTCAAGCTTGAAATAGGCCTTTTATCATGGCCCTCTTCCAAATGAGGGGTACAGGGAGAGCCAAATGAGAGGCTCCTTCCTAGGAAGGGGGTGTTCTGAGGACAACCAGCAGCGGGGCCCCATCAGTCCCTAACCAGGCGGTAGATATGGTGTTGGGCTCCGTGTTCACTGGTGGAGACCTCAAAGACGTAGGCAGTGCACAGCAGCAGTTCCTGAGTGTCCCTGTTGGTCACCACCTGCCGGGAGAACAGGCTCATGCTGTGGCGAGGTGGTGTGGGGTCTGGGGCGCGGGGGGGGGGGGGGGGGGGCCGGGGGGCGGGACGACGACCTGCCCTGCCCGCCCCAGCATGTCACCTGGAGGATGGTGAAGTTCTCCAAGACACTGTTCATCATGTAGCGCTCGGGCAGCTGCCGCAGCTTGTGCAGAAAGTTAACCAGGTACTCACACATGGGGGAGCGCATCAGGCGGTACACAAAGCGCCCATCCTCCAGCTGGGCCCGCTCTGTCTGGGAGTGGGAAGTACAGTGGCCTAAGGACCAACCAGAGTCCCCCAGCACCCCACCTTTAATGACGGGGGCCTCTGAACCTGCAAACTAGGAACCTTGCATCCCCTCAGAGTCATGGTCTAAGACCTCAGTGACCCCCAAACACCCTCGATACCATCTCCAGACTGCGCCTGAGTCCCCCAGTCCCTCCTCACTCGATTCCTAGCACACCCTTAAGAACCTTTTACATCTTGTAGATTCGATCTCTAGACCTTTCAACCCTTGAAATGAGCCCTAGTTGTGGCTTTTAGTTGCTTATTCCTGTTTTGTTTGAGACAGGGTCTCGTAGGCCAGGCCAGCCTGGAACTCCTTCCGTAGCTGAGGATAGACCTGAAACTCCTGATGAGTGATCTACATGGTACAGGGCAAGCATTCCACCAACTAAACTACACCCTCAGCCTTCTGTGGAGTTAGTTCCTAGCACACGCACTGAGCCACCAGAGAGGTTGGGATGGCCCTCCCTCACCCCGCCCGCCCACATGCCTGTGACCGCTTACTCTGGATACAGGCTGTGCTCTAGCTTGGGGCCTCACCTCCACCTTCTCCACCACTTGCTTGCCAAAGGAGCAGACCTTGGAGGAGCAGGTAAGTGTCATGAGCTCCCGGCTCTCATACTGGCTGCTCACTCCATAGAAGCCACCGCTGCCTCCACTGGTCCCTGCCTCTTCACCACTTGGGCCCCAATTCAGGTCCGCCTGAAAGACAAGATAAAGAGACACAGTTGAACTGAGGGAAATCTGACAAATCCGGACCTCCAGGCTCCCTGAGCTGCACCCACTTGCTCTCCCCCCACACACCCCGTCTCAGCTTCCAAAGTCCCCGGGTCGGTACCGGTCCAAGAAGACTAGAGATGGAGGGTGTTGGGGATAGTATTTTCAGGTGTGTGATTTTTTTTTTATCCTGCATTTGATTGACTGTGAAGCTGTGATGCTGTACCTGTCTAAAACACCCGATGGTCCAAATAAAGAGCTAAATGGCCAATAGCAAGGCAGGAGCAAGGATAGGCAGGGCAAGCAGGCAGAGAGTATAAATAGAAGGAGAAGGAAGAGGAACCAAAGAGGAGAGGAGGACACCAGGGGCCAGTCACACAGCTATACAGCAAGCCACAGAGAAGGAAGTAAAGAAAGGTATACAGAAATAGAGAACGATAAAAGCCCAGAGGCAAAAGGTAATTGGGATAATTTAAGAAAAGCTGGCAAAAAAAAAAAAAAGCCAAGCTAAGGCCGGGCAATCATAACTAAGAATAAGCCTCTGTGTGTGATTTATTTGGAAGCTGGGTGGTGGCCCCCTCAAAGGAGGAGCTTAACATGATAAAGCAGTAGGGGCCCCAGAATAGTCCTGACACTCACTATCTAGGAACCTAGGAGCCAGAGAACCCGAAAGCCCTAACTCCAGAGCTTCAGTCCAAGCATAACAGTGTAAGCTTATAATGCTAGCACTTGGGAGACTGATGCAGGAGGATTGTGAGTTTGAGACTAGCATGATCTATACACAAGAAACCATGTCTCTAAAATGGAAACAAAAGAAGTGGCTGGGGTTTAAGACAAAGAAAATGAAAATAAGAAAAAAAAGAAAAGGACTTTAGCCTCTGACAAGGGCCTAGTTACAAGCAGGCAAGTTACCCCCAGAGTTCCATATCCTCCTGCAACCTCCCACCTTCCCACCTCTCACCCGCAAAAGCGAGTGTTTTGACTCCCCACTATCAGCAGAGTCAGGCTCCTCCCCTTCCCACCCATCCTCAGGAAAGCACCTGTACCTGTCACTCCAATGTCAGGCACAGACCAGGCCCCGAAGCCTGTGGCCTTCTTGAGAAGCAGATGCTGACTTTAGCTGCAGCTCTTTGGCCAGGACACTCACCTCAGAGGCCCGACTCCACCCGCTACCCCAGCAACAGGGCATTTTGATGCAGGGCAAATCCCTATGCCTGTGGCCATGGTGGCCCACAGCTGGAACCCCAGCATTTAGGAGGCTGAGGCAAGGGGACTGTTGGTTGGAGGTTAGCCTAGGCTATAATGTGAAGGAGAGTCTGTCTCAAAAAAGGCCTCAGCCATGTGTGGTGGTGCACACTTTTAATCCCAGCACGCAGAGGCAGGTGGATTTCTGGACTTCAAGACCAACCTGGTCTACCAAGTGAGTTCCAGAACAGCCAGGGAGGAATGCCTTCTTGGCAGCTGCCTCCCCACCCCATCAGGAGCCAGGCTTCAGACAGCCGGAGGAGCCTCTGAAGCCTGTGGTCCGTCTGCAGCAGCCCACTTAGAGCCCTAGCAGGCCTCCACACAGAAAGCTTAGGGGTTTTGTTGTTTTTGTCTTTTTCCAAGATTTATTTACTTTTATTTTATATGCATGAGTGTTCAGCTGCATGTATGTCTCAGCAACACACATGTGCAGTGCTATCAGAGACCAGAAGAGTTCCTCTGGAACTAGAATTACAGATACATGATGGTGCTGAATATTGAACCCGGGACCTCTGGAAGAACATCCAGTGCTCTTACCTGCTGAGCCATCTCTCCAGCCCCCTTTATTATTATTACTGCTTTTTGGGTTTTTTGGGTTTTGTTTGTTTGTTTGTTTTTTGGGTTTTTTGAGACAGGGTTTCCCAGTAGCTTTGGAGCCTGTCCTGAAACTCACTCTATAGACCAGGCTGGCCTCGAACTCACAGACAACACCTGCCTCTACCTCCCGCGTGCTGGGATTAAAGGTGTGCACCACCACTGGCTGGCTCTCTACTTATTTTTTGTTTGGTTTGGTTTGAGCTAAAGTCCCCCTAAATAGTTCAGGCTGTCCTTGAACTCTGTATTCTCCTGCCTCAGACTCTTGAGCATTGGAATGACAGGCATATACCATAATACAAGGCTCAAAAGCTCTATAGCCAGACACCCAGGGAAACCAAACTGACTGAAATTCCCTGAGCTCATCAGTGCCAGTCATACAACTGGACACCACCACAGTTGGTTACAGACAGCCCTCCATGTCCCCACACTCGGCTCCACTCAGTGCCATCATAGAGCAGGCCTTAGGAAGCACGGCATTCAACCAACATACTCTCCCAGACAGTGTTTTATTATAGAATACTAGTTTAAGGTGTGCCACATTCATTTATGCTGTGGAATATTTGTTTAATGATGCAAAGATGTGCTGCAACTCTTTATGTTGCATTTGTTTAACTCTGTGAAGCTGTTACTTTGCCTGTCTAAAACACCTGATTGGTCTAATAAAGAGCTGAACGGCCAATAGCAAGGCAGGAGCAAGGATAGGTGGGGCTGGCAGGCAGAGAATAAGTAAGAGGAGAAATCTGAGAGGAGAGGAGGAAGGAACACTAAAAGGAAGCGAGGAGGACACCAGGGGCAGCCACGCAGCCACGCAGCCAAACACGGAGTAAGAGCGAAAGTAAGATACACAGAAGTAAGAAAAGGAAAAGCCCAGAGGCGTGAGGTTGACGGGATAATTTAAGTTAGAAAAGCTGGCTAAAAATAAATCAAGCTAGGGTGAGGCATTCATAAAAATACTCCGTGAGTGATTTATTTGGGAGCTGGGTGGCGGGGCCTCAAAGAGCAAAGAATAAGGAGTAAAACAAAACCCAACAACTACAGTGTTTGCTTTGTTTCTGAAGGGTGGCCCAAGCAGACCAAGACCCTCCTTGTGCCTGACTGGACTTAGGAACACTCACCCAGAACTTGACCAGGAAGAAGGCATGGGGTGGCCCTCGGTCATACAGCTCCCGGAGACCACCCTTTTTCTCAGGGAACTTGTCATAGATCTGCCGCACGTCCACGCTCTCCAGGGGCGGTGCTCCAGGACTGGGGCACTGCTGACTGATGTGGACAAACAGGTGCCTCTGGAACTGGACACAGGGTAAGGGGACATGATAGACCCAGATCCTCACCCAGTAGGCTGAGACCACACGCAGCCCGCTGGCCCCAGCAG